GGGAAGTTCATCATTGTTCATGTCACGTCTATAGAACTCAAGCAGAGGGGTTACTGTACCTAGCTTTTAGCTCATCACCGCTTCACAACTGGATGATTTCGTCTTGTAGGTTATCAGACACATCAGCTGGTTCCTCATGGAACGGTGTAGCAAAGATGTTCGATTCCATTTGTTTACTTTTTACGTCCTTGAATCTTTCACTAAACGCCTCCATTAGTTTCACACAGTCACCAGCATATTCAAGTGTAGAAGGCTTTTGTCCTTCCAAAGTGGGGAAATACACTGTTCTTTCTTTCCAGTTGCACTTTCCACGGCCTTCATATGAGTTCACAGTTGAAAGCAAGGAACCCTGCAGGTTGACATTCAGCTCTGAGAGGTACTCGGTAATGTCCAGGAACGCTTGCTCATCCAGCCACTTGCTCTCACTGAGTTCCTTGACAGGTTTTCTTTCATCTCCATGAACTGCTTGTCTTCATCTCAGTTTGTAAAACCTTAGGAGCATGTTCTCTTGACTCAGCCAGCACACTTCACAGTGACAAACAGCATCGCTGTACTCATCAAGATCAGTTAGTAACTCCTTAAACTCTTTGCTTTGACAAAATGTATGCATGTGTTGACATCACATTCTTAAGCCACAATGGCTGTGCACAGACTTTCTTGGTGTGTGATGCAGTGGCATATAATTACATCCCGTGGATCAAGACACACAATTCAGTTCTTTCCTGACAAATGCAATTAACCCTTTTTGTGAGCCATCCATGGCTGGAGCTCCCTCTGTAGTAAGGCCACTTAACTTTTCAAATGTTAGCTCAAGTTTTTTCATTGATAAAACAAGTCCTCACCTCCTGCAGTGCCATGCGTGGCTTCCAGTGACAACAGTTCCTCTTGTGTATCAAACTCTGTTTTCCCAGGAATGAAAATGGCCAGTTGAGCAGTATTTGTTGTCTGTTGTCTTGTTACAACCAGAGGAAAAAAACCAGAAATCTCCTGCAGAATCCTTCAATGTTCTTTCAATATTTTGTGCTACATCAGTAATCCAATCTGAGACAGACTAACACTCTGAAACAATTTTACTTTTTCTGATGCTAACAACTCCGCAGCAGCCACTGTGCACTCTTACACAAACTCTCCTAACAAGAGGCCTCAGCTTCTTTGCGATGAGCTACAAAACCATTTCAAGAGATACCATATGAACAAGAGCCAATGATACTCAGAGAGGAAGTCCAAAGTGCATTGAAAGAA